TCAAGATGTTCTGAAAGTACCCGGCATACTTTAATTAAGTCAAAACAAGTGGAGAAAGGTTATGGACCAGAGTAGTATTTCCCCAGTGGTACTGGAGAAATATATTGAAATTTGTATTCTCAATAAGAATAACCCTCAGTAAGAATGGACAGTGTAAATGATATTGTCAAATCGATTCAAATTTGGAGTTCCAACTCGAATCCAATCGACTTAGCAAATCGAATTGAGAATCGCCTCAACTAATCAAAACGCATCATTTCATTTTCCTTCAATTGCTGCAGCAGTCTATTACGGCGATGGAGCTCACATAAAGCACCCCTCCGAGTCACCTATACATCACACGGTCTTCCCAGTCACCACCAGCTTCGACAGAGCAACCTGCCACGAATCTGTACCGAATGCGAGCCGGCATTGTCGTCAAGGAGACCGTCTATGGTCGAGACCACAGTGGAATGCGACTCCAGCCGTGTTCGAGGGAGCGTCTTGGGAGGCGATCAAGGAACGGATCTTCTTGTTTGCATGTCCGAACACTGTGTCATTAGCAAATCATGAATGCCGCCCCACGAGTCAGGTCTGTGTCTGTTCTCGGCTTGGCCACGAAGTCGACTGCACGTGCGAATGTGTGTGCAGCCGAGCAATGGTCCTGGTTTGCCAGGAAGACAGGATTATGTTCCAGGGTCCTAGCGTCCGGATGCTGTACTGCATTACGTGTGTAGTGAGGGGACGCCACTACCGACCGCGAAGTGAGGGAGGTAGCTTGGTAATGAAGTCACTTTTGGATTTGTCATCGAGGTCGCCGTTGTGAACACGGCAAGCCGTCGGTTTCGAACACTGGCGCAAGACAACAAAGAATTCTTTAGCTGTCTTGGGACACGCTAGCGAGTGTGAGCATGGAGTTTCCTACGAACGGCGACATCCGTGCTGAGGACGTGGAGCTCCCTGGTAGCGACCACGATGGCTCCGCTGCAACGCGAACCCGATCGGGACGATCAGCGAGCCCTGCGGCCCGTGCGCCGAGCATGGACCGTACTGAAGACCGCGGACGGAGTCGAAGCCAGACGACAGCGCGTCGGCTGTTTCGGTCTCCCGATCGACGTCGCCAACCGGTGGCGGTGGATGAGGCGTGGCCGTATGCCCGTGCGACGTCTACGCCCTTTGTGTCTGGCCAGACGACTCGGACGAGCTCGGAAGCGACGGCAGACGAACCGAATGACGTGGATATGGGCCAGTATGATGTCGTTGTTCGTAACGCCCCTGCCCTACCGAAAAACCCGGCGTTCAATGGATCCACGAAAGAAGAACGTCGAGCGTTTATGGCCGCGTACAACCTGTACATCAGCCAGACGAATGCTTTGACTGCGAATGGTGTTCGGCACATTGTGATGCCTGTGAGTGCGTGTATTGAGCCGATGACGAAACAACGTGTCGCCGAGTGGGACCTTTTTAAGGACCCTGACGACGTATCTGAGGCTGAGTGGATCGCATGGTTCAAGCAAGGCTACGTCGTGGACCCGCGTGCGTTGGATACGTTGAAGAAACGCATCAAGACCGCTGTGGTGTTCGACATGTCCATCCCGGACGCGGACTCTCGGATTGGTCGGATGCTGGACGGTCTGGCT